ATCTAGGGTACCAAAATACAAGCTGAATTGGCGTTCAGTCTAAGTGTAATAAAAACTGTTTGATTTCATGCAGGTCACTAAAAATCTGGATAATGTTTTATCCATAAATGGGCCCATTTAAAGTTTTGATGCAAATTTCATAGTGAAATGATACTTTTTAAACAATTTCTATTATTGCCATGTAATTTGAGTAGCATTCAATATAAAATCACAAAAAATATATCAATTTTCTTTGTTTTTGTCTTGAGTCCCATGTTTCATATATGAACATGTCCTTAAATTCAAGATATCAGTAAATGTATTATAATCATTTTATCTTCTGCTTAAAATGTATTCTTCTAGGTACCATGTCCCTTTAGGACATGGGCAATAATAGTTCTCCACAACTTACAGTCCTTTTTAACTCTTATTAAGAGATTGATTTGCCATCTCTGATAATCCCTGTTCAACCAACTTTAGACAAATTCATTAGGTAGGTTATTCACTGCTTTCCTGTTCCTTTTGCCTTCAATAGGACTTATCAGTGTCAAATTTTCCAAGCTCTTTCCTCATTATATGCCCTAGAAATTCAATTGTCTCTGATTCTAGGTATAAGTGGCCTTTCTGTTTCCATTTTCCCTAAAACATCATTGCACATCTGTTCAATCTATGATATTAACAGCATCTTTTCTATAGCAACACATTTTTATAGCAACACATTTCTGTTGCATCAAGTCTTTTTCCCCCCTCTATGAGGAGAATGTTCAGCATTCAATAGACTGATATTACATAACAGTTCAGTACTCTTGTTCCTAATGAAATAATACTTTGCTTAATTTTTAGAAAGAATATTTCACTATTCCAATATACCTTTGAATTTCAGCATTGCATTTTCAGTCCTGTTAAAACACCTGCTAGATATTTAAGTTTTTGTTACCTATTTTTTTTTTTCAAATTACATATAGGACTAACTATGATCTATAGAAGAGCATATGGGTTAGATTTTTCTTTGAACAGTCACCATTGCTTGGTGACATCTGCAGCTTTGTTTCACACACTTGACCGATAAGGATGGCCTACAATTTGGTTCCATCATAAGTTTAAAGCAAAGCCTATGCCCATGATGTAAAGAAAGATGTTTATGTTCAGAAAATAGGTTTTATCTATATTCAACCATGATTGGTATTTTTTTTTTTTTTTAAGAATGAAACATTAAAAATTCATTCCTGCCCAGATAAAGCAATTAAAAAAATGTACTGTTAATGTAAAAAATTTACCTACTTGTATATTATTGTTTTCTTAAACATTAAAAGGACCAAACACATATACACTATTGTCCATAACTTTATAAGTTTTGTTTCTCACTCCATAAAAATCTACTAGGAATGTGATTGTATTCAACTCAAAGAATAGCCTTTTCATGTAACAATCTAAGTAAAATCATAATTTCACTCAGTTCAACAAATTTTTAATTTACCATTTTTATAATAATATTCTTTTCTTCTTACTGAAACATAAATATCTATATGTAACATTTTAAGTTATGTTTCTATAATTCCTTTATTAAAATAAAATTAATATACAATTGTTTATGTTGTGATGTGACCATATCACAGTTTAAACTTACTTCATTATTCAAAGTCAATAAAAACATGACAAACAAAATTAGACTAAGTGCCTACAAATTTAAAGAGGTGAGAAAAAATTTTTTCATGATCATCATTCTGATAATCAGTTTTTCTAACACCGATCTTGTATTTACATAAACAATATGGCAACCATGGTCAACAATTCTGCTTCCAAATTGCATTACAGTAAATATTTACCATTCCTTCTATTTTTAAACTAGAAAAATAAATCCAAATGAGTACAAACTGAATAACTAACTAAACTTATAAAGAGCTTTCACACAACCAAAATTAATTGTTTTTGACAACAATAATTAAATAGTTAGGTGAAGTGGGGGGAGGGGGAGATAAAATGAAAATAAAGTTCAATGATTGAAGGAATACAAATGTGCCTGTACAGTCATTTTCCTAATCCCACTTAAAAAAAATATAAACTGCTTTAAAATAAAAATAAAATTTAACCATCATTTATTTCTATAACTTGATTTACTTTTCAACACATAAAAAAAAAAAAAAAAAGAAGAGATAAAATTCACAAACATGATCAATGGTACTATGTTAAATGCCAAAGGAATGTGAAAAATATTCTTTGCAAATATCACGACCAAAAATAGACAAAAGTGCAATATTCACACTATTCAATGGGTTAAAGTCAAAGTTATTTTTTAATGAGTTTTGTTATCACAAAATATTCAAAACAAGAACATAAACACAAATTGTCAATAATTCAAAAGAACAAATAAAATAAAACACAGAATATGAAACTAATCATTTGCTTTGAACTTTCTCATCAGCTATCTAGATTAATATTATACAAATTAATATGTTTCTTAATTATTGTGTTAAGTGATTCTCTCTACCAATGTCATCATAGAGGTGAAACTAAAAGCTTGTTCTACAAGTTGCGAAAAATATTGGATTATATCAAGCAAATGTTCTATAAGTCATGTTTTTGCAAGAAATACTTGCATTACTTCTCAAAATTTTAAACTTTATTTTCTACTGATAAGTCCTCCGACAAAAAAGAATCTTTGTAACTTTTGTATACAGAAAAGACTTTATTTCTTGCTTGAAACAATTTTAGCATTTAGTACATATGAGACAAAAGAGTAAGTATGTTAAATTAAAAAGTGTATTGGTAGGTTAAATTTAATCTGATAAAGATTTTTAAAATAACTCTTGAAAAATGAAAATATTAGTAAAGTATCTGTCTATATCTCTGAGATGAGTTATGATTATTTGCATTATTAGTAAAGTAATAGATATCTGAAAATTATATATTTCAAAGAATACACAAAATGAAAACACCGAGAAGTAAGAAATTTGTTAAATTGGAGTGTCAGAAGCCATTAACTAATTTGATAAAATAAAAATTCTTTGAATGTGGCAGATTAAGAAAAAAAAAAAAAAAAAAAAAAAAAAAAAAAAAGAAAAAAAAAAGCTGGTTTTGATGAGGTGCTCATAGTTTCCCTATGACACCTACATTCTTCTATTTTAAACTCTAAAATATCTAATATTTCTCAGCTTATATATTTGCTTCCTGAATTTCAAACTCACTAATCTTAAAAATGTCTTCAATCTAGTGAGGTTCATGTTTTTTCTTCAAAAAGTAAACTGTATATTATCATAATTAAATTATTAAATTGAGCAAACAGTGTAGTGACATGAATATACATAGTAATCTAAAATGTCCAATGAAAGTTTTTATGTTCCTCATCAGCATTCTGAATTAAATTCTAGAGATGCAACTGATAAAGTGAATCTGATGAAACAGTCACAATCTTTTTCTTCAATTCCAACAGTAAAGGAAATGTTCCACAATCAAAATAATTTGTTTTAGAACATTAATTGACCAAAACTTTAGAGTTGGCGCAAGTTGACACTTAAAAGTGCTAAACCCAATCTAAACTTGTTAAAATTCAAATGCAAGTTAATTAATCTCTTCTTTGTATATTTTATGCTTGTGCATACAGATATCCAGTATTTGATACGAGTGATTAATTAATCAGTTCATTATGTCAACAGTAATTAAGAGATTGGCTTAATTGTTGGCTCCATGAAAACAATTAACACATTTGAAAATGGAAATAGCAAATTATTAGGCATGTGCCAACTTTTCAGCATTTATAATTAGAATAAATAGTAACCCAAAATTTTCTAGAAGCTGCTATTCAAATCTCTTAACATTTCCGCATATGTAGTAATTACCTTAAGCCTATTATTAATAATAGTGTAAAATGAAGAGTAAATGAATAATTTTCATATTAGATTCAAAAGTTGAACAGAATCAATAAAAATCTCAATAATCTAGCCATTACTGAAAAAATCCTTACTGTCAAATCCTTTTGCAACACCAAGTGTTTCTGAAATTACTAAACATGACAAAGTTACACTAACCAATTAATGACATATATTAAAATACCATTAAATGGGAAGAACTTCTTTGTTAGAATCATTATGAAAATTCTTTTTTTTTTCTTTTTTTAAATCAAAAAATCTCAAAACCACAAAATGCATTCACTAATTGCTTAATGACCAACTTTTCATCTATCCTAGGATGTAAAAGGTGCAAGAAATTAAATGTAGCATTTCAAGTATCGATTCATTTAAACCAGCATTTTCAAACTTTTTTTTTTTTTTTTTTACTACAACCCACAGCAAGAACCACATTTTGCATTGCAACCCATTATACCTAGATGAAATAAATCAAAGACAAACTGTTCACTAGATTAACTTATTTAGCATTGACATTTTATATGTATATTTCTTATGAACTGCACAATTAGAATTGCATTTGTATTATCTATTTGTATTAATATAAATTTATTGCTTTTAGAAACACAAATTTAAGGGAAATTCTGACACAAAGGTAAAGTAAATGATATTTGAAAAAAAAAAATTTATGAACCATTTTATTTATCTTGCAACCCACTGTAGGGTCGGGAAACCCTGATTTAGACTATTTCTCCAATAATTACAGTTTATGAACAAAACAGAAACTATCAACTTACTCTAAAGAATTTGTTTTATACATTTCATGTTTAATGTTCACAGTTATAAAGCAAATATATATTTGCAACTCATTATGAAACTGGATTTTAAATTTAAAAAATTCAAGAAAAGAAACAAATCTTTATAAAATTTACTTAGTAAAAATAGTTAAGTTTAGTTTAACAGAATTTTATTTATTTATTTATTTATTTATTTTTTTAGTTTGCTTTTAAGAGAAACAAGCCCAGCTAAATTGTTATTAAATCACTTTCTTGAGCACGTATGTTAGACAAAAAAGAAATTCATGCAACACTAGCAAAGAAGCAAATGTGAATAAGCTGAGATAGTAACCTGCAATTACAATGATTAACAGAACAAAAGGAATTCAATGTTTTTACTCACCAAAGTAAGAGCAGTGGCATGACTTTCCATATTCTTAGTAAGTGGAGGTTCTTCCCCAACCTGGAAGTCAAAGTAAACCACTTTGTGTGAAAAAGTAGAGAATTCATTACTGAAACAGAATTTGAAAACTCCTGCTTGGTCTGTTTTCCACACAAATGTGTCATACTGCTTCTTGGTATTTTTATAAAGCATCTGTCCATTAGGAGCCACAATCTCCAAGTCGACATCATAATGCCCACCAGTTATTACCTGAAAAATAAGCAAATAAAGAACATTGAATAGAACATTTTTAGGGGGCAGGATAATACCTATATTTAGTTAGGCTATGCAAAATATTTCTAATATAACAAAAATTTTGCATTTTATAATTTTTTAAAGCAATATAAAATTATTTCACATTTTGATGCACATGTGCTAACACAACTGTCAAATTTCTGTTGGCAACAGCAATATTGTTGGAAGAGAAATTTATTTTATAAAAATATCCATAAAATGTAGTCTCCTATCATTTCTACTGATAAAGAATTGCATTAAGCAAAACCATTTCCATACTCACCTATAATGCCAGTTCTCATTTTAAATTTTTTTAACATTAATAAATTGTTAGCAAATAGTTTTTTCTCCATGAACTTTGTCTTTAAATTAATTCTAGAATTTTATTATAAACAAGTTTGTCCTTGTTACATCCAATGCATAATATATAGAATCTCATGAAGGCTGTCCCCACACCACCACAAAGACATTAATTGAAGTTGACAAAACTTCAACAGCATTTACTTAAGACAGACCTTTCTATCAATAAGACCTGCAAATGGTAAAATAGGTAACTAAACTAAACCAAAGAAATTAAAGCAGATTTTGTAGTCATGACTATTTAACAGTTAGCTTTTACATTTCTAAAACCAACTTCAAGAAATTAATTTTTCAAATACAAGTTATTTTACTTTACCCTCATGCAATAACAGCAAGATTATCTCGAGTTATTATCTCCCTTTAATTCTCTATAAAATATTTCACAGGTAAAATTCACCTATACAAACAAAAAATGCCTAAGATTAAACAAGAAAAACAGAAAATTCATAAATTTATTTTAGAGTCAATTTAACAATGCACTTAACATTTAACATGACAAAAATCAAGGTAGAGAGCTTATTTCTATTAAAGTATCTTGTTTTATGAATCATTAAATTTTCAATTAGGGAGGTTTCTTTAAATTCTTGTTGCTACTAAATTTGTCAGAAAAACATTTCATTAAGTTTGAGGATAACAAGCTCTTAAAAGAGCAAAGTCAATGAATGCCTATGTCCCTAACATTTGTAAATGGATTTATACAATATAACAACTTATCACAATAAATATTAACAATTATATCCAATTAATATCTAATTTTAAAAAAAATCTTTATTAGTGACAATACACATTTTTCTTTTGGGGAGTGGAGGTAAATAGTCTAAGCAATGCATGACTACATTTACTGGAAATTGTTGATTAACATTCATTCAACACGAAATCCATAGCATATAAATTATGAAAAAATGCTTTTTATGAAGAAAAAAAAAAAAAAAAAAGAGTAATTTTTTTTACTATTAAATTTTACCCATTAGAAGGCTCTTATTAAAAATGGTTATGATGAATGAGTTGTGCAATATGAATGAAAGAGGGTAGTAAGAGGTGAAGATAAGGAGGAGAGGTAATGATTGGTCCTTGATTTGAAGGGTCCAAGGAAGCACCTACACAAGAATAGCAGTTCTTTAGAAAAAGTTGTTTGAGTGGAACTTTCTTCTTGCTTTTGGGACATGCAAGAAACAAGGGTGATTCACCTCCATGAACATATCATGGCCATGCCCTAGTTGCAAAGGTCTGAACTGGTGGAAGTAAAGAATAAAAAGCCAGCTGAATATTTCCCCATAGAAATAACAAGGGGATTGGTACATACCAAGCCCCTTGCTGGCTGTGGGAATTATAAATATTGTAGAAAATGAAGTGTTGGCACAATTTTAACCATTAAAATAATCACAGTATTGTAGATCTATATCAAACTGAAGATTATATGCTACCAATGACAAAAAAAGTATGTTTAAATTTTAGATGTTTTAAGTTTGTAGCGTTTACTATGCATTTATGATAGTACAATTGAAACAGCATATTATATATGAAAACTGACATTTTTATGAATGAGTGAAGAAAAACAAAATTATGACAATCCTATCAACTTCTATACTTTAAAAGTAAAACTTATCTAATTTAGTATTTCCTGTTCACATACATCAAAGGTATATAAAACAAGGATGATACAGTGGCCACCAATTTCAGATTTCAGTGATTAATCAAGTGTCCACAAGGAAAAAAATACATACATTATTAATTAATGAGTTTCATATTTTTTTCTGTCTCTAAACATGCCAGGATTTAAAACTAAATTGCTTTATTTTTATTTTTTTTTAAAGGAATACAAATTTGAAGCTAGCAAGCTGAATATCTGAAATTTTAAAGAAATTTAAAATGAAGTAAATTGTTTGAACCATTTGCTATTTTAAAATACGGTTTTAAACTGCATGCAGTAAAAAACGTAAACAATTCAGGAAAGAAAACTCATTTTCCTTTAAAATTCAACTTCTCTTAACATGAGACACATGATTAAATTTTTAGGAATAAGAAAAGGTTGAAATTCCTATTATTATCAAAATAGTAAAAAAAAAAAAAAACTGTCTGCCATAATTGTAATTACTAATTAGTTTAAATTAAAAATTAAAGCACGTAACTAAAGAAAAGAAAATGAATCAAGTTTCACTTCAGTCAACTATCAAGATTCAATGTTTTATATGGAGTTTCAAGAAAGATAACTTCTGCTTGAACAAATATAGGCAACTGCTTGAAGGGATCATATATCTATTGATTTCCTTTAAAATGATTTCCTTCTATACAAATTCTTAAGCTAAAAAGCTTTCATGAGTTTCATATGAAACAGCCGTCTTACATTTCATTTATTTAGTCAGTACACAAATAAAATGTCATTTTCTCAAGCTATATAAACATTTTTCCTTTTCATTATTTTCTCGCGTTAAAAATATATCAATTTCAATATCTAGTTCAACAGGTGTCACATGAACCAGCAGGTATTATTAATGTTATAGACAAAGGGAAGTGGGAATGAGAAAAAAGTTAAAATATAAAGTTTTTTTTTTTTTTTTTTTTTAAACAAAAGTTAAGCACAATAAAGCTATACAGTGTGTACTGTTGTAGTTCATTGAATTCACCCTCCTTATCTTTATTAATATTTACTTGACGAAACAAAAGTTTTAAAGAGCCATGAACCACTAAATCCAATCTAGATTATTTCAAGAGAAACAATTTTAATTCCTTCAAATCATTACTGTGCAGATATGCCAAATTCAGTAGAAAATTTGTCAGTGAATAAAGGTATTTTTTTATGAATAAATTGTTAAAAATTTTTCTCGCTACCATTATAAAATAAAAAAAATAAAGTACCACAGCACTTTCATGTGTTTTTCCAATATGGTTAGACAGGTGTTGTTTAAAATGTTTAATTTAATTCAAACTATAAAAAAAGAGCAAAAAAGTTAATTGTGAACAAGTGCACCAGCTAGCTCACACTTGCACATGAAAAGCAATTACTGACAAGAAAGTATTACCGATTAAACAAATAAGAGGCGGAAATTAATACACTTTATCTAAGTTGTCCGTCGTTTGGGAAGTATTTTTAAGGTTTAGTAAAACAAAAAATAAATTCAAATCATAACTTATTTAAACTTGAAAGAAAACTTAAATTATAAGTGCATAAATTTCAGATTTTTCTAATCAAGCCATCCTAAGGAAAGGGAAAGGAAAAAAAAACTGATCCATATTAATCAGCTCAGACAATAGACATGAATTACTAGTATAATTAGCACTTGGCGAGAAGATGATTTTAAAGTGAAACCAGTTTGAGGAATTGACAAATGATGTAGGGGCAGGTAATTATCGTTAGTTTTCAAATACAGACACCAAAAAAAAAAAAAAAAAAGTCTACAAATAGATTTAAAAAAAAAACAAAGGACCAAGAGGTCTATTTAAATTAAAATATTTTAAAAATACTTTATCCCCAATTTACAAAAATGCATATAAAATTAAAATTTCTGATAGTTTGCACTTTTGTATCAGAAGAAAAACTTAATGGATTTTTAAGTGAACGGATATCGACTATAAATCAACAGTCAATATCCGTTCACTTGAAAATCCATAAAGTTGAAATTTGAATTTGATCAATATAGTATTGATCAAATTCAGATGTTTCCATCAGTTATAGAAAAAAAGCTGCTCTTGCTGATTCAGATGTTATAAAAAAGATTTTAAAGTTCATTGATAGAATCGAAGGAACTATAATTTCATCAGATTAATTTTTAAAATTTCATGCAAATACTATCAGCCTGATAATCAACCTGGTCTTGCATTTTTTTAGATTAGGTGCTTCAAAGACACACATATCGAGGTTTCTTGCAGATTATTTACGTGTGAAAATATAAAGAGTTCATTCGCCACTGAATACGTGTTGTCTTGTAGTGACCTTGTACCATACTTATGTAAATTTAATAAATATCAATTAGAAATTTGTTCAATATTGGAAAAATATATTGCAGCGTAAAATCTAAACTTAATTTCAGTTACACAAATTTGTAGATTTTTTTAGAGCCTTAAATTTGCCTAGATTAGCAAAAAAGTAAAAATAAATAATACTTTATTTTTTTAGCTTTTTGAACAAAGCCTTCTTGTGAGATTTACTCTTTAACTTTTGTTTGCTAAATTTCATTGGATTATAAATAGATTATGTCCAAACCGATTAAAAACATAACACTTCACAAACAAATTTTATAGTAGTTATTCAATTTACTTTTGTTGACTAAGTAGCACTGAATAAACAGAATTGCAACGTGAAAAAAATTAATTTTATAAATTGGAGGAGGAGGAGGAGTACATTACAAGGTTTGTTTTTGACAACAATGACAAGTAATCAAAAATAAAATTCCTAAGTTTGTTATATTCAAGATCCCGGTAAAACGATGACAAAACATCATTTTGGGGGTTATGTGAATGCGAAGAGGAAAAAATTGTTTCAGGGAAATAACAAAAAAGCAATTTTATTGGATTTTTTTTTTTATACAGCAAACTTTTTTTTTTCTTTGTCGACCTTGTTCCTTATGGAAATCAAAATGTAAGTATTAATTGTTAACCGACGATTATAAAATATTTGAAAAATAGTTCATATTATTTTCATTACGTTATCAAAAAAAAAAAAGTCAAGGAATTCAATAAACTAAAAAACGAAAATGTTTTTTTAATCGATTATCTGTCCATCAATCTATTTGAGAAATTAAAGAAAAAGACTAAAAAAAATATGATGTGTACGGTTTTTATTTGTCCAATATAGCTTTGTTAAAAACAGGAAATATGGAAGAGTTTGAAAGACAATTTTACTTTTATGCACAAGTGATTTGAAATTGAAAGCCATCTATATTTTATTTTTTAGGTGACACTTAAAAAAAATAAATAAAAGTGTTTTAGTTTGTTTTCATATTTAATTTAGTAAGAAAAAAAAAACGAATTATTTTGGTAATCGGGTAATAATGCTTCAGCCATTCCTAGTCGTACGTTTTTTACAAATATAGTTTATTTTTCACCAGTTATCAAATCATGCCATGTGTAATAATAGTCTTCTGAGTTTACGTCAGTCTCGAAGCAAATCGATTTTGTTGGAGAAACATTTAAAACTAAGTGTATTTAGTCGGTAAATACAAAGAAAGATTTTTATGATAAATATAAAATTTCAGTATTCTCCATTATTAAAGACATCACAAGTTATTGTTTTGTTTCGATGCTTAAGACATCTGTCATGACTTTCTCTTTTCAATGCATATTTTTCTTCACTACCTTTCCATTTTTTTTTAATGTTTTTTTTTCCAAAATGTTATAAATTAACTTACCTGGAATTCTAGTGTACATTTTATACCTTCGTCAATTTTCTCAAAAAAACACATCCGTTCATTATCAGGCAATTCGAAGGTAAGTTCACTTGAGAACACAGTTTGGACACAAAGCAGACAGAGAATCCATGACAAGATGATTGAAGAAGATAAAGATCGAGCAAAATTATTAATATTACTTAACTCCACCATTGTGGAAAAACTATTAATTCTCAGAGTATATACAAGATTCGGAACTTTCTTCCGTCCAAAACTTGGGACCTAAAGACTTAGAAGGGGAGGGTTTTAAGAAAAAAAAAGGGGGGGAGAAAAAATGGAGATATCACTGAAAATACTTCCCGGCGTTTTTTTACGAAGCAGATGTGTATCTTCCGTTGTGTTGCACTTGAAAAGGGGGGGAAAATAACGGGGGAAATTCTGTTATTCTCGTAAAAAAAATACCGGCTGGAGCCTGTCCTTGTATCTGTTAATGGCGACACTGATGCTGATCGGAGTGACGTGGCCGACTGCTCACTAGATGGCGCTAGCAACTGCTACTTCCGTTTCAGGACCGCACTGAATCGCTATCTTTGAAACCGTTGACTGTTTCTTGGCTCAGTTTCAGGATCAACTACGAAAGCTCGGTCAACTTTTAGCACAAGACTATTGATAGAGACATGTTTGGTTATTTTTTGTTATTGGATACGTAATCAAGTGAAGTGCTTACTGAGAAAAAAAACTGACCCATTTATTTCTCGTTATTCTTATAAAAAACACGTAGTGACAAAATATTTTTTACATAAAAAAATCTTTTTAAATCTTACGTGTAGTAACATGAGCACGTGTAAGGTAAGAAAATAAGTGAAATCGAAAACAAGACGTTCAGCTGAAGAATCTGAATCATTGAAAAACAATTTTCATCATTAACTCAAAATTCATGTAAAAAAATAATTTTAATTTCAGTCATTAACAAATACTTCTCCATTCTAAAAGTACTGTATCGGTGAAACATACAACAAACTCGCCCAGCAGTAAAAAAACACAATCGATTTAAAATAAAAATGCTAAAAGTTAACTTCGGCTTCAAACAAGATTAGTGAGAGTTAATCATCAATAATGTTTAAACTTTAAGAAGCTTTTATTTCAAATTTAGGTCAGTAGTTAAAAAAATATTTTTACATCATTTCACTACCGAGCAAGGCAATAAAACCACTAAGACGCAAGGGAGTTACTGATTGAGTGCGAAAGAATATGGACAAAAAATTAAAAACAAAAAAGGCTATTTCAGTTGTTGCCCGGAAAATTCGGTAACAACTAAAAGTCAATTGAAAATTGATTTTAAGGCTGTTCTGGAGTGCAGATTTGGGAACTAAGACCCCTCCCCTATATTTTTAAAATATAAATGAAAGTATATAGTTTTTACTTCTTTAAAAAGAAGAGACTATCTAAACTTAATTTATTTACTACTTTTCTAATTAAAATACTAATTTGAAAATAAGATACAAAAACTTACATAAATCTATTTCATTTGCTTGAAAACAATAGAGTATAGTAATTAAATACTTATTTTAAAAATATTTATTTAAAAATACCGGAGCGCTACCCTAAAGAGAAAATACGGCCCTGGTACTGTTGCAGTGGGGTTTTAGCATCCGGATACCACTTTCTTATTAATGTTGAATTTTGTACAAATCTGTGCAAAAAGTGGATCAAGGAGCGTACCCAGCTTCATACATATTTTCAGAAAATCTCAACTTTTAATTGGTCAATAAACACACAAGTGGGCGTTGCAATCCACCCACGTACATGTCTTTTTCCAGCGCGTAACCAAGTCAAGTTTTCCCGCTTCTTTTTCCAGGAGCCTACCACGTGATTAAATTAATTATAAATACCAGACACGAGTTCGTTCTGTCTCTTTCTTGATTTCATTCGCCTACGAAAACGTAACCTTAAAGGAAACTGCGTGCGACCCCATTGCGGTCGAACGCTGAAAACATATTCACACATGCACATACGTACGAAATTTTCCAAGCTACATTACAAACACTATTTACATTATTCGGACTATTGTCCTCATCTTTGATGCCATATTTATCACAACGTTTCGGCCGTTGTACGCTCCGGTCTTCTTCAAGTGGTTGGAATGTTGAACTGGACCCTTTATTTTGCTGACTGGGGTAGTTCCACGTACCATGTCTAATGGATGTCAGTTATCAGTTATCTCCTGTTAATTCCCCTCTCCAAGTTCTCCAAAGCCTTAAAATGGTTGCTGAAGACATTAGGTTTATAATACCCAGAAATTCATACACAGATGTCCTCAAGGACACATGACACAGTAGATAAAGGCGTTAGTTAGATCCAGTGACAGTGAGTTCAATACCTGGTTGTGGAGAACTTGGAGAGGGGAATTAACAGGAGATAACTGACATCCATTAGACATGGCACGTGGAACTAGAACAGTCTACCCCAGTGAGCGAAATAAAGGGTCCAGTTCAACATTCCAACCACCTTACATTTCAGAAAGTATGGCCCTGGTATCGTTGTAGTGGGGTTTTATTCTAGACTCCCCCTCCCTTTAGTTAATAATCCTTTTTTTTTTTAAATATTGGGGAAGGAGGCCTAGCTCCACTTCTGAAAGTACAGCCCTGGTATTGTTATAGTGGGGTTTTATCTGGACCCTAAGATTTTCAGTTATTTAATAACATAGGGGAAGGAGGCAGGTTCCCCAATTTCCGACTCCAGAACGACCCTAAATCACCGAATTTTCCGCTACCGAATTTGTTAAATTCATTTCGGTTATGCTATTTGTTTTGTTTGGTGGAACTTGGCTGTGTGAAGGACATTGTTTGGATTTATATTTTGATTTGCTCTCTAAAAATGGGCACATCGTATCCAAAACGATGTATTGTTTTCCGTGAGCATGTGATTCAGTTTTTGTTGTTTGTTTTTTTTTTAAGTTTTGGCTCTTTCTCAATTTCATGTCCAAGAACGTACTCAAATCACCTAATCTGATTTAAATTTTCATTGAATTTTCACTTTTCAGTGTGTACATTTTCTGTTTTTTAAGCCTTACAGAAACGCATATACTTTCTTTGTACAAGTCCGCTCCAATAAAACGCCCCCAGGAAAAATGTGTATTTATAAAAAAAAAAAAATAAATAAACCTTTTATTATTTATTTATTAGTTGTCTAAGGTTCAAAATATTACATTCCTCAACTCTTGGTTCCAACTTTTACACAAAGTATTTTAACATTTATTTTAGAAGTCTATGACAGTCTCTAGAGATCCAACATATTTTTTTAAAAAACGAAGTTTCTTTTTCTGGGTGTGTCCAAATATCTTGACAGTATAAATAAACAACTGGTATTATTAACAGATATGTTCTTTATTGAAAAGGAGTTGAGAATTTCAATGAGGAATGCATGCGATACGACAGCGGACTTTCTGGTTTTGTAATAATATCTTTTTTGAATTATGTGAAGAATTGGCAGGATATTCTTGGTGTTTATTTACCGGAGATTTTGGAATAAAACGATCTGACTCAACAAGGGTATAAAAAATTTTTATTTATTTGATTTAGAGTACGTCCTTTAATATTCAGTGTGGCAAAATGTTCGTTTATGTTCTCAAGAAAAATTCGTTTCAACTCGATAGTGGGTAATTTCATGTCAGACCGTGCTAGTAATAATCATCTTAGAAATAGGTCAGTGTCTACTGTATTTTCCTCGGCCCTAAAAAGTCAGATTAGCAGATTATCTTTTAACTACTTCACGCGTCACGCATGGCTGATTTCTCTGGCGGTCGCGCCTCTTGTTCTGTAGTTTCTATGCGGTCGCTTCTCGTCTAGCTCAGAGCTGTGAGCTTATATCCTTTTGACTAGGCTCCCAGACTCTGGCACAAACTTTGGTTTCGGCTAACATCAAAAATCTTCATGCGTTAATTTTTTGATTGGACAAAATTATCTTTACTTTCTGGATTTCCGTTCTTTTATATAGCGCAATTTAGGCATGTAGCCTCGCTGATTTTTGGTAAGTTTTCAGTCACAAATTAGTATACTCTGGTTCCGCAAACATCCGCCCTTTTGCGGCCAGGTTCAGTCTTTTCTTCTTCCTCTTCTTTTTTATTTGAGGGTTGCCCTCAAGGAGAGATAGATAGATAGATAGATAGATAGATAGATAGATAGATAGATAGATAGATAGAGAGGGGGGAGATAAGGGTTTTAAAGGAAAGTAAAAATGCCTTATTTTAATTAGAATTTTTATTTTGGTTTATATATTTTATTTATATTTTATTTTATTTTATCGGGACTCACTCGAATTACTCAAACTAAAATATTTTTACTAGGCTCGCATTTATCGCTGTTGTCTTTTAAAAGTAATAGCACTAATACTTAAAAAAAATTAAAATGAACTTTTAGCATTTCATTTGTAACTCTGACCTAGCTTTCGCTATTGACGGCACTAAATATTTCCCTATCAAGGCGATCCTTTTATAAGGTTTGCGTTGTTCCCATTATAACTAGCTATCACAAAAAATGGATAACGTTTTTTTTCTGAAATGGATGCGTTCTTTTTTTTTTTTTTCTGAAATAAAAGCAAAAATTAAAAATCGCTACTCACCTTTTTAAAATTTTCAAAAAATCAGAAAATTTAGCTTGTCGGAGTTACCTCCTCCTTAGTTCCCTAATCCTTCACCAGGTGTCTCTCTGCCCATGCTATAAATACTGGGAAACTTCTTGCCTCTTTCTCTTCTTTCCTCCAGGCCTCGTGCCGAATCCTACCTCGCGTGGAGGTGAGGCAAATCTCTCTTCTTCATTTCAGCGACAAGAGGTAAGCTCTTAGAAGATCAGCGTTTCCCATTTCTGGGAAAACGCTATGAACATTACAAACATTCACCACAATACGAACGTTCACGCACACACAAATGTTCACACACAAACACAATGTTAACTGTCTATGTGCTTTGTAATGTGTTAATACATATATTTGTTTATATATATCGGTCTTGTTTGTCTTCTTTCATCTTCGGTCGGACACAACTAGAGTCCGCCATTTTTCTTGTAGCGAGACCTTTCTTCTAGCAGGAAATATAAACGCACGTGTTTTCTTTTCATCTTCACCCCCACGGTCCTCTACAAGCTGAATCTGATTTAAACAATCTTCAGAATTTAATCATTAATGGAAGAAGAGTATACTGAATAAATCCTTTTTTATTAGAAAACTTCGTGGAAGTATTTTGGGGATCAGTTTAACTCTACCTTTTTATATCTCGGTGTACTTTTTAATTTAGGTATTCGCGAAATTTGTTTACGGTCATATAAAGAAACTTTTATGATATGTAATATCAAATGTGAAAACATACTGAAAATTCGTCTTGAACCTTCCCAAAATCGATTCAATAGAAGTAAAACTCAAAAAATAATTCTTTTTGAGATAATACTTGTATAGTTTGATAAAACATATTATTTTAGTTAGTTTGGATAGGGAAAAATTTAAACCGATTTTTTTAATGTACTCGTAATATTTCAGTACGATTCTGAAATTCATCCTGTTGCTGTACGTAACAAAAGTACTCTTTATAAATAAAGACGTGTTTGAAGAACTGAAAAATATTGTAAAGTTTAATGCTATTTCCGATTGGGAACCTTTTTTAAAAAACTTTTTTTTTTCATTTTTGCAACCGTTAAATTATTTTTGTGACGGAAATTCCAAAAGGTAATTATTCTGAATTACCTCCTTTGGCTGACTATTCTTTCTTATCAGAAGAATAATATGATATATGGTAATTCAATAACTCTTAAATTTAGAATAATAATAAATAAATAGAAAATTGGGTGCTAATAAATTTTTATGATATAAAACGGATAAGAAAGTAATCAAAAATTGAAAGTAATGTATTAAACTCATAAAGTATCCTTTTAATATTTTTTTTAATTAATTTCTTCATTATATTTCTAATGTAGTATAAAAATAAAATTATTCATTTAGCATCCCGCTACCACCTTTTTTATCAACATCAATTTTTGTACAAAAAGTGAATCACAGAGCTTATTCAGCTTAATAAATATTTTCAGAAAACCTCAACTTCTGATTGGTCACTTAATATTAAAATCATGCCCGAATATCAATATCAATTTTCGTACAAAAAGTGGATCACAGCGCTTATTCAGCTTAATGTATATTTTCAGAAAATCTCAACTTCTAATTGGTCACTTAATATTTAATAACATCGACCTAGTTCTTGACCAAAAAGATAATTCCGCCAAAATCTATCAAGCTTCTGTGAGCCTATCACGTGACCAAAGTTAGCCATAAAATATGAAACGTCTTTCATCTTCGACAGTGCACCGATCGGAATCTTTTGAACTCGTCACACAGTTCCAGGCTTTACATTAAAGTTCCTCAACACGATTCCAGCCTGAGAGAACACTCATTCACACAGCAATATTTTATGACGAACAATCAACTGAAGTTTTCCACATTCAACTTAATACACGAATCTTTTTCATACGCTTTCAAGCTCAACGTTAATTATTGCAATTAACATAAACACAGCTTGTTAAGAACCACTTACACCAACTAGAATATTTTCTTCGAAACAGTGAAAACAAATCAAAGAGCGACAATTCCGTAAGCCTTAAAGTAAGTCGTAAACAATATTTCTCTATTTCAAATACAAATTTGAACTGTTTATTTTTTTAAAAAATTACAATGATACCCAAATACACTTTCTCATTATTGTACGTACCATTCAACAAATTATAATCTATCAAACCAGAACTTTGATAACTTTTCATCTAAACATAAAAGGACGTTTGAACTTTTTAAAACTACTTTTTTACTCCAGTTGTTTGTACCTCTTTGTTATATAAATATTTTATTCGTTGTTGTGCAAAAACTGTTGTTTCTCATGTTGTCCTTATTCTATGTTTGTTGAATACTGAAATTTAATGTGAGAGGAAATTATTAATTTCATCACGCAGCCTAATTTACACAACAATATTTTATTCATATAATTTAATTAATTAACACAACCTCCACATTCAGTCTACTAAATTTCATAAAAGCATATAGAATAAAAAATATATTCTTAAATTATTGGTTATATATTTATTTTACAAATGAAGACGTTCGTATTTGGCACAATTAAGCGCTTAAATCACAGTGACCCGAAACAAAATGATTTTCATGTCAATGTCGATTCCCTTATGATGAATAGACAACAAAGTTGCTAGAAAACATACGCGCATCGACCTCGTAAAGGGAATCTCCTGGATCGCAGCCACATCCACACCGAAGGACAGTAGATCACGAAGCAGGCGGACCTCTTTACCACGATCTCTCAAGCCCCTCGCGTTCAAACATGGCAATTTGTTAAACATCTTTTAGACTTAGACACACGCTGGACGAAAATTTACGTCATTCAGGACCCCGGCGGATCTTCCTAAGCTACCAGAGCTCATTTCGGATGTAATCCGTCCGTCGATTCTAATCCCGCCAACATCCGTAGGGAAGGTCACTTTTACATATATAAAGAGGGGTGGAGCAAAACAGGAGACAGCCCAGAACAATTCTTTGAAATTTTGTCGAGCTTAAGTGGCACCACTTGCGCCATCCTGAGCCCAGGGAAAGATTCCCTGGCGGCAGAGATCATCTCCCAGGCATTTAGCCTGTTGCCAGTATTTTTAATTAGAGTTATTACCCCTGGGGAATTTCTTGGGTTCTCCGTTGACTTTCTTTCGGCAGAGGTACACTTAAATAATGACTCCAAGAGGGCCTTTCTATGTGGCGTAAGGTCCCTCTCAGCTGCCAGTTTATTTGGGAAAGCCGTCTTCCTTTGGAAGAGGGATGCCGGAGCCATAGAGGGAGAAAAGGGAGGCTCCTTACCTTACATTGCGTTTGGTTAGCAAGAACATCAGTTCTTGCTAACCAAACGGGGACAGATTGCGACAAGATGATATTTTAAGCGTAGTTTTGATCTAGTACAAGGTCGAAAGTTCAAAGCACCCAGTGAGTATCGAACTCACTACTCAGTCGTAACTGATCTAGAGATAAACTCTTGCTAACCATCACACCGCGCCGAAGTGCCCGTAACTATTGGTTATATAGGTAAGGTTAAAGATCATTTTAATTTATTTTTTAAATATAAATACTAATTTCTTGTTCATTGCACAGCTGGCGTTCCGGATTTCTTTAATTAGTGTTAATTTTTCTCACGCTTTTTAAGAAAAGGGTTACAATAGAAAACTACTGTTGTTGACCTCTGATCTCATAGGCTACCGTACGTAAATAAACGTTATTTTCATTGTATTTTACGCGGTTCGATTAATAGAGTTAGTGTCGAGTGAACGTAAGAGCATTTTTAAAATGCCTAAAAAGTTTATTTACATGTAGATATTTATTGTCCTTTAATACGGATTAGCTTTAGGCTATTACCTTTCAAATAAAATCAAATTTTAACTTCAAAGAAGACATATGCGTTTTTCGTTTTTTTAAGAGTTACCTACAACAAATAAATTTGTCATGTTTTGCATATATCTCTGCGTAGTAGTAGTCGTAGTACAGTTCTCCGTGTTCTGAATAGCAACCGGGTTTGCTAGGCATAGTCCCTATGTTCGCCAGTTGTTCTCTATTTATACTTGTCTATCTAATTTGCATACGATACTACACCTCCATGAATCAGAGATCGTATACCCTTGTTTTTTCTTTCACTATTCCCGATTATTTTCGTATTGTGTTGACCTCCTCTTGTTTTTTCTTTAATGGTGATCTCTGTCTCTCTTCATTTTCCTCTTCATACTCATCTGTCTTTGCATTTTCACTTTTTTTCCATTTCCTGCTCTGATCCACTTTTGTAACTTTCTGTCTCTTCTTGTTCTTGATCTTCCTTTTCTATGTCATCCAGTTCGTTTCTGCTTCTGAACTGATCTGCATGTGCCAGTATATGTTGTCCCTTTTTCTCAAGTATAGCCGTGTTGTGTTGTTTTCTTCTGGATCAGCCTCTTTATTCTTTCTATACCATACTTTTTCTTTCGTTGCAAAGGACATAGTTATGGGGGCTCTGGTTTGCCGAAGGGCTCAGTTTTCTTCCCGCATATGCAATGGATCATTTTTTACTGATACGCTTCTATACTTTTATTAAGTGGTGAGACTGCTTTTAATCCAATTTTTAACGTTTGTACCATTTTTTCCGTAATGTCATTAGATTGTGGGTGATATAGTGATATGCATGCAATCTGT